GACATTACATACATTACATACATTACATACATTACATACATTACATACACTACATACATTACATACATTACATACATTACATACATTACATACACCACATACATTACATACATTACATACACTACATACATTACATACATTACATTACATTACATACATTACATACATTACATACATTACATACATTACATACATTACATACATTACATTACATTACATACATTACATACATTACATACATTACATACATTACATACATTACATACATAACAATACATAACAATACATAACAATACATAACAATACATAACAATACATAACAATACATAACAATACATAACAATACATAACAATACATAACGATACATACAATACATACATACATACGTACATACATACATACCATTACATACCATTACATACCATTACATACCATTACATTACATTACGTGACATTACATTACATTACATGACATTACATTACATACATACATATTATATATATATATTATAATGATATATTAATATGTGAACAATTATGAGCATCTGAAGCAGTTGCAGAGAAAGTCCTGCCATGTTGACAAGCGACGCATAGGGCCTAGGGCCTAGTTAAGGAACTCCTGGCTCCTTTCGCTTCAAGGCCTTCACTGCCGGAAGGGGACCACAACAGTGGCCTACTTGCCTCCCTTGTTGAAGATTAAGCTGGGTAGGAAGTGCGTTGCGCATTTCACCAAGCAGTGCGCACTGTCAATGTGATTTCCTCACATATCCTCACAGAATGAAATCTGTGAGTGTGACAATGCGACACAAAGCCGGGTTTCCACGAACTTGTCGCAACCATAGGCAGTCATACAACCAAGACCTATACCTGGGCTCAAGAAACGTCGAAGGTCGCACCTGCATGGCAGCTTTGGATTGCATCTTGCGCCGCGTCCGAGCCAAGACCTGATTAACCAAGCAGGAAGCATCCGTCGATCATCCACCGATCCATCCATGATCCATAGACTCATTCAATCCTTCAGTCATCCAGGCGTCGATCCGTCCCTTATCCGACATCATCCAGAATCATCCAGCATCATCTATACATCATCATCCATCAGGCATCATCGAACCATGGATTCATCCATTGATTACTGCATTTCTCCTTGCTGCAACCTCATGATTTTCCGGTTCGTTTTGGAACTTCAATTGGAGCCAAGCCGCCTTCGAAGTCCAGCGTCGTGTCCCAGCATCATTCCGATGGGACGCGGCACCTGGAACCACCCCGCCAAGACCACCCGAGATCCCTCGAGTTTCGGGTGGAAGTGGAGATGTGGGAACATCAACACCGCCAAGATTGCCACCGTAGCTGACCTTTTGAATATAATTACCAAAGCATTCAACTTGAAGTACTGGCCACAAAGATCAATTCCGGGTGGGTCCAGTGGACACCACGTATGTTCATCTTGGAACCTCAAACGTCCATCTGGTTGTTTGACACCAAGAGCTTTGAGCCCCACCCAAAGCAATGCACCCGTTTAGGTTAGCAGCTGAATTCAGATCTGGTATGTTCGAAAATGATTTAAATGAACATGAACCATCATGAAACACACTCATGTCCATCCCCGAACGTTCCATGTGATGTATGTGCCACTCCCAATGATACCTCAGCGACTCAGCGTTGCCATGCGCCGAAGAATGTAAAGCTGCACCTGGGCTCAGTCCATCTGCCAACTTCGACAGTCCAATCAAGGTTCAAACAAAGCACAATGTGACAACATTCACAACTATCATCAACTATCCCATGATCCGGAACTGCCGGTCATATCCAGCTGCTTTTCATACCTCAAATTGTACATCCCACCAGTCACATCACTTGGTTTCCCGCATAATTTTGCATCTCGAGCCTTGGCAACATGCTGGACTACATTGAAATTCAATGCCCACAATCAAAACATGACAAGTTATGACAAGTTGACTTTGTTTATCTTTGAAGAAACTTCTGCCAAAGAAATGGAGAAGCAAAAACTTCCACACAATTCCACAAGTGCATTGCTTGATCAGGCGAGTTCCTAGCATGAGTATTTGCCTCAAGCAACGGAATCGCCATGCCATGCACAGCTTACAGCACCCACAGTTCGACAAACTGATGCCATCTGACAATTTCTTGAAATCATGACATTAGTTCTAGTAGCCGGACATTGGGCTGAGCGGACTGACGGCAGGAAAAACCTCTTTAAGAGGGAAAAAAAACCTGCCAGTGGTGATACTCTCCTTTAGGGAGCAAACCTTGACAAACATTATCCATGACAATCATGGAAAGCAGCCAAACCTGCGTTTTCATGTGCCCTCTTCGGGGCGAGCGGCAACCTGCTCTTGAGGTTGTCCCTGCGTCGGTCAGCTTGGGCTGCAGATCCATCTGCGCCAAATGAGTGCTCCGTCGTCTGCGCTCTCCGAAAGCCTTGCACATTTCAACACATAAGAGAGGTCTTCCATTTGTTCTAGCACGTCTGCCTTCTTGCGAGCAGCCAATAGCCCTACTTGCCCATCGAAAATCAATTCTTGCAGCTTCTCATTGAATGCCTTCTTGTCTGGGATCTTTTCTAGAATTTGCTGCACATCTTCAGGACGACTGGCTTTCATATCTTCCACCCTGACACCTTGCAAGGTGCGTTGCCTCGTCATCAAGGTAGCAGTGTTCCTGAGCATCAGGTTCTGCGCCATGCCCATGCGATGAGCTTCAAACAATTCCGCCACACACCAGGCACGCCCAAATAGGTCCAGGTTGGCATCCACAGCAATGACCTCTGTAAAATTTGGATCTTTTCGTGCCAGAAATGCCATCATGTCATCAAATTTGTTCATCTCACACTTGATGCTCTCACCATGCTCATTCAATGGTGGGTCCTTATTGAAGAACTTTGGAGCGTTGCAAGTGCATATGGGATGTGGGATTTTTGTGACTGGATCGACGTCTCCGTTGGGGTTTCCTCCACAAATTGAAGCGTGCTGATTGACTGAAAACGCACATATCCAATAGGTTTCCTGAAGACGTCCTTGAACCTGGAAAATTTGCTTCACAACCTCAACCCCTTCCTTGTCGGACAACAACTTCGCAATCAGCTCGAAGTTGTGTTCTCCCAGAGCATCAGCAATGACGGTCGCTAGCAGGTCGCGGAAGAGATTTTGCCAGTTGTGCGTGACCATTTTCTTAGGGATCACCTTCTTGCCATCGTTCACAAACTCAGCATAGGAGCTACAAGCGGAAGAAGTTCGTGGAATGATTCCAAGTCTAACCACATCGTTGGTGGTGTGAACATCTGGCTGGAAGGATGGCATAATGCAAACGCCCAAATTGCTGTAAAATTCCAATAGGTCTGACAAAGAGATCCCACGGCTGGCCAGTTTCAGTCTTTGCTTCCCAATCTGACCCCTTTATCATGCCAGTGTCAGTGTCACTGTCATGGCGCAAGTGAGAGCGGGGACACACTTGGCAGCCAAATCTGGATGGAGTCCATGAGAGGGCGGGGGGCCTTGCAGATCCAGGCAATCGAAAAAGTCTATATGCTTTTGATAAGAGGATAACCCCGGCCACGTTCACCACGCTGTTGATACACTGAGCTACAGCAAAAGAGATCCTAGGGATGTGCAAGCCCGCAAAATATCCAGGATCATCATCAGGAGTCTCGAAAGCCTCACTATAAACAACCTGGTAAAGAATAAAGGATGTTGCCAAACTGGCAAGGAAGCCAATTCCTTGCCAAAAGCTCCGTCTCCTACAAGCAATAAGGCGCTGCACAGCAGTGGAATTCTCTTCTTTTCGAGCCATCTGCAAGGTTCGACGAAGCATCAAGACTACGCGGCACAACGTGGTGGCAACGCCAAGGACCCACATCACGAACACAAGCGCAGCAAGGAGTGCTGCAGGGGATGTTACCACACCGATCAAATATAAATTAACATCGAGATCCAACACCACCAAAATCACCGGCGTCAGATAAACAAATGACAGGAGTGCAAATTCAAGCCAAAAGGCTCGCCCAAGGCATGCTCCCCATCGTGGGGAGTTCAAAGCTGGCCAAATACTCTTCAAACGATCTTGGGCGAGATATTGCAGCCCCAGAAGTTCACAAACCAAGACAAGCGGCCTGAACCCTAGTAGAAACAGGGAGCATAATCCTCCAAGCCAGTTGAGAATCAAAAAGCGTGCTGCCAGAAGCAGGTGTTGCGTTGGGGCAATGAGCCACAGCAAGACAGCTGCTGCCCCAGCTAGCGCATTGCTCGCAATAAGACAGCAAACAAGAAAAATGGAGTCAGACTTGTAAGAAGAGGAATCATAAAGAGCATATGCAAGTGCACCAGACAGGCAGGCGGCGACAATCACGGCCACACAAAGAAATGTGCGATGAGTCCATCTCTGAATCCACCAGGTTTGGCTCTGATCCCGGCTTCGGATTGGCAAATCAAGTTCTGATGGTGATCCAGGCACGTCCGTCACGTCCACATCGCCTGCAGCACCTTTCACTGGTCCGTCCAGTGCACACCTGACACGCCCAAGCAGAACAGGCCCAGCCGACGACATGGCACACGGCCACCCTGAAGAGCTGACAGCGGGTGAGAGCCGGAGTGATGCTCTGTTCAGACCCCGGCTTCAACAGAGAAATTGATTTTAGAAAAAAAACTGGATTTTCCTCAGTTTTGCTGGTGCTTTGTTTTTTTTGTTTGTTTCTTGTTTTGTTTTTTTTCTATGAAACCCTATATTCTCTTCGCTGTTGGGCTCATAACTCTGTTGGGCCAAAATTCTACACACACACACAGTATATCACAGTGAGTATCACACACCTTGACTCGATTTTGATCCACTCAAGAGCGCTCTGCGGGGCAGTCAGTTGGTTACACTTCTGATCCTATGTGCGTGTCATCCTGTGCAGGGGCCATGCAAAACTTCACACCGGTGCCCTCCTGCTCTGCATTTTATGGCCAGCAGTCACGGCATTTGCGCAACTCCACAACTGCTCTTGGCTGGCCTGCATGGCTTAGGTGGTTGCACCCGTCGCTGTGGTAGCATGACCCACCTCGCGTGATATGCACAGTTGGAGGGGCTTTTGCCTCCCTATTGTCCTCTCTTAGGCCGAGGATCTCACGGGCGCGCTGCTCGCAGGTCGCCTTCAGGACGTTCTTCTCCCTGTCCAAGTCCTCGTTCTTCTTGGTCAGGTCGGTGATCTTCTGCGTGAGCTCGGCCACCTCGTTCTGGTCGGCAGCACGGCTTGGTCTGACTGCTTGAGCCTGTTGCTTCGCAGTTTGCAGCGCAGCTGTCAGCTCGGCAATCTTCGCGTCCTTGCTGGCATTGGCTCGTGCAGCCATCGCGTTGGCATTCTTGGAGTGCTGCAGCGCACCTTGTATATCATCCACCTTGTCGCAAAGTTGATCTCCTCTTTCACGTTGACGTCTCACCTGCTCTTCCAGGGTGTTGATGTCGTTCTGAGCTTGGTCGTACCTGTCTTTCAGCTCCTCGTGCTCGGTTCTGAGTTCTTGGAGATCTTTCTTGTAGCTCGCCGAATCCGCCAGGCACATGTTGGTCTTGGCGCTGTAGTTGTCGGCGCAGTCTATCCATGATGTGATCTCCGTCTTGGCTTCGCGTAGATCATCTCTGAGTCCATCCAGTTCTCCTTGTTGATCTTGGATCTTCTTCTTGGCAGCACGATTTGCTGCGTTCACATCCATGACCTTCCGCTTGAGTGCAGCAATGCGATTCGCCATCATGTCGGGATCGCCTTCTTCGTCCACATCCATCGCTTCTGTCGTGTCTTCCTCCTTCACTGGAGGTAGAGGTCTGTAGAGTTTCTTCGTCACCTTGTAGGTCACGTACTTCAGAATCTTGTCCATGTTCACGGCGAGGATCACGGTGAGGAAGATGGAGATGTAGACCCCGAAGTAGTTGGCATAGTTCGGAATGCTGTTGTTCTTCGCAACTGCATTGGAGTCAGGGACATAGGTCTCGTCAAACTCTTGAGCCGTTGCACCACTCGCACACGTTGCCACCAGCATCGGCAGAATGCTTCGTGAAAACAAACTCAGCAAAACAGCTCCATGACTGATCTTCGGCTGCTTGATGCCTTTGACAACGTCGTCCATCAGCTCCTCATCGGACTTGTGAAGGTCGTGCTCTGTGTACTCTTCCAGTGCTGGGAGAATTCTCGTCACCACCTTGTGATCAGGCACGTTGAAAAACCTGACGATTCCAGTTGTCAACAAAAGTAGCATGCAATCATGAACCATCGGCTTGGTCAATGAGTCAGCCGTCATAGCTTCCGTAGGCACCAAAGTTGCCATACGCAGTTTTCCAGAAACTCTTGATTCTTTCAAACTCAAAACATACAAGCGCTGCGATTTGTCTTGAGGCAGCGTTCGTCGTCCAGTGATGAGTTCAAATAGATCTCGGCAATCTCCATAAAAGTCCATTGGGATCTTAGGATCGCCAGCTTCTTGAATCTGCACAAGCTGCTTGATCGTGGGAGCTTTGGCAGGATGGTGTAGTTCGGCCAGTCTAACCATGATCATAGTTGAGGCTTCCATTCCACCAACCATAGACAAGGTTTCAGCATGTGAAGTGCTGTAGGAAATTCTTTTCGCCTTGGATCCACTGGCGTGAAGAATGTGGAAGATTCCACCATGGTTCTCCACTCCATGTTCGCCTTCTCCATCTTGAAATTCAGTCTCGGCTTCCAAAGTGACGTCGTGGAACTTGTCTTCCATGATACCGATCAGCAAACCTTCTTGAGCATAGCTTCGTCCTTGAGCAGCAGAGGAAGCATCGTGAATACACACCAGTCTGATGTGCTTGGCTTCCATCATCCTGTAGTGGAGTCCAACCTCGATGTACTCCGCCACTTTGATCAGGATGTCATTGGCTTGCTTGAGGTGTTGAATCTCAGCCACTGTCACCTTCGCTTGAAGAACTGATACATCTGCAATGATGTCAAGGCGTGTGGCAGTCAACCACAAAAGTGCTCCAAGAATTGAGCGAAAGGTTGATACTTCTTCTTTGGTCAGCTTAGAAGTGTCTTCTCGTTCTGGTACTGGAACAGGTCGGAGTTTGCTGGCAAACTCTTGTTGGCTGACCTTGTAGCCGGTAGGCGTTTTCTCATACTTGCAGCCACAGTGAACAAATGGTAAGGTCTGTCTGGTCACCTTGCCAAAACGTTTGAGGAACAGCTGGTGCATATGGTCCAGCCATGGTTGCTCGCCAGAAAGAGCGATGTCATCCACATGTGTCGTGGCAATTGATTCAGCTTCTGGTTCTTCTGGTCGTTGGCCTTTCCAAGAGAAAGTGCAGTCGTCCAGATGTGATGGGTGTCCACCATGTTGCTTGACAAACTGGTGCAGGCACAATTGCCATGCCAATGGGGCGTCATTTAACCCATAGACCGGCTTGACGCAGAGTAAGCCGTACTCCATAGCTTGGAGGTCTGTCATCCCCTTGAAGTCAGGACTCAGGTCACTCAAGTGACGAAAGACGTTCAAGGGAGGTAGAAGTACCACCACTCGGCTTGGTGCATCAACTCCAGCTTCACGTAAAGCTCGTTGAATCTCGGAGAAAGAAAAACCTTTCAGGAAGGCGCCAGCAATGTCAATGGACTCGAGTCTTCGGCTGCGCTTCCGTGCAGCATGACTCAAAAGAAGTCGTTGGCTCAATCTTGTGGCAGTGGTAGATCTCGTCGTCAAGAGGTCTTTCTGGGAGTCGAAGCATCCTCTTGCACAAAGTCTTGATTTCACCTTCAACTCGCCATTTGGGTATCTTTTCCACTTCCGAACCCATCTGGCATCTATGATGACCATCTCGGCCGTGAACTTGCTCTTGTGCATCTTCTTGAATGCTTTCTCCTCCACAAACTGCTTGACTTCAGCTCGATCGGCTGAATCCACCAAATGCCATAGATCGGGTGTGATGTCACCTTCATTGATGTTGTTGGTCTCCTCGTCGACCTTGAAGATCTGAGCGGTTCTCAGGCATGCTGTTGCATCGCCGGATGTCTTGTAGGCCAAGGTGGAGAGATGTCCACATTGTCGTTGACGATGTTGGTACTCTTGGGTCAGGAAGTTCTTGACCGTGGGCAGCATGATGCTGTAGCCAATCTTCCATTCCAATGGGAAGTCCAGGATGATCTTGGTGTTGGCGTTGATGGTGTAGAAGCTCCGTAGGAACTCGATGTCCTTCTGCAGAATCGCCACCTTCTTGATGTCCTTCTTCACCATCGCAACCTTCTGCTTCTTCTTCTCAGATTCTTGTAGTCCTGGATCTTCTGGCTCATCTCGTTTCTTTGGAACGTTCTCTGTGTCCATTTCCTCTGAACCATCGCCATTCGGCTTTTGGTCATTCACAGTCTTCTCCTTGGACTTTGGGTCATAGGTGATCTCCTCCTTGATGTCCAGGTTGTAGTAGTAGAAGTAGATGATACAGAGGTCCTCCCTGGTGTAATTGGAGATTTTCTTCATTCTCAGGTGGTTCGCGTTCAAGTGCTCCTGTACGGAGTAGTTCTTGCCACCTTGAATCCATGTCACCAACTTGCCAGTCGTGTTGTTGGGAGGTTTGAAGGTTTTCAGAGCTCGTCCCATGATGATGCCATGCAATGGCTTCTTGGTCATGGCTTTGGAGATCTTGTCTGCCCATTCCATCGCCTTGGTGATAGCTGGTGTCTGCTTTGGAGTCTTGGCCCAAGTGCCGTTCTTCTTCTGGATCCATCCAATGATGTAGGCCTTGTACTCGCAGAGGTGCTCCACGTACTTCATCAGGTTGTTGAGCTCGTTCTCCACAGGTTCGTTGACCATCTCAAAGTGGAACATGCCAACATAGGGCCTGATGTGTCTCAAGGAAACCAAGTAGGGCTTGCCCTGGTACTGGATCACAGCAACACCTTCATCTTGATCAAGTCGTAGTAGAAGTGCTGGGCCACGCCATCCAGGATCTCCTGCAACTTCTCTGTAGTACTCCACTTCAGACACTCCAGCGGTGAGCTTGTCAGTCTCCAGCTGGTGAGGACGATGTCGGTTGGCTCTTGCGACACGATCTTCAATGATCGCTTGATGTGTCTGGGCCAAGGCAGTCTGCCTGATGCGCATAGCGCGTTCGAACACCGTCACGTCCTTCTGCATGGAGCCAAAAGTGGAAAGAAGACCTGGAGTCTCAGGGTCGTAGAACCCACGTGGAAGGATGCCAGAGACGCTCATGCTTGGTGTGGCACCTCCATAGTTGATCGTCTGGTTGTGCGCCATAGCGCTTTCCATTCCAAGTTCAGCTGGTTCTGGGTTCAGACCTTGGCGTTGAAGCTCGGCTTTCAACTTCATGATGGTGAGCTTGGTGAGTTGAACATGTCGTTCAACCAAGCCAGTTCCAGTGTGTTGTTCGGCACCTTGTCCTTGAGTCGTTCCTCTGGGACATCGAACGATGTTCATCCGTTCGAATTCACCTCCAGCTTCATGAGACATCAGAGAGGCTTGTTGGTCCAATACAAGTCGGGCAGGTGGACCAAAGAACTGAATCCAGTTCTGAAGCATAGAGGCCAGCAACTGTTGTGCATCTTGTCCTTCAGGAACTGAGCAGGTCTTGAAGCGAGTAGCTTCATCCAGCAGGATCATGTATGTGACGTCGTCCAGGTGGAACAAGTCGAACTGAACCGTCTCGTTGAAGATGGTTGCACCTCCAGCTCGTACTTGTGGACGATTTGGCAATCTGACAAACTTTCGGCACACCACGCAGCTTTGAACTGCTTCAGCTGCAAGGGTGATCACTGGTTGAGGAAGTCCAGCTCGTCGAAGGAGGTTGCAAAAGTCTCCTGCCGGTGTGTGCCAAAGTCGTTCATGAAGGCCGACCAACAGTCTCTTGGCTGTGGTCACGTCACCAGAATCCACCAACTTGGGAAGTCGTTCAAGAACTCGCCGCAAGTTGTAGTTGGGCTTGACTGGAGCTAGTGCAGCTCGTCCATGTGCCTCAAACTCTTCATATGCTGGAATTGCCAGAGCTTCTTCTTCTCGTTCATCATCAGGTCGTTCTTGAATTTGGGGTTGTGGTTCCACTGGAACAAGTGCTGCATCATCTCGTCGAGGTGGTAGTGCAGGCTGAGCTGGGATAGATCTGGATCGTGCAGCGGGTGTCGATGGTGCTGGTACTGAATCAAGTTCGACACCATACAAGACCAGAACCCAGTCATCCTCATCTATCGCCTCGTTGATCTGGCTGAAGCTGAGCTCTCTCATGTCTTCAATCTTCAGAACTTTCCAGTGCTTCACATCGCCAATGATGAACAGCCGCAGGTAGCCAGAAGCCATAGAAAGGTGTGGTTCAGCTGAGGATTTTCTGAAAGGTCGCAGCAAAACCTTGATGGCTTTCACCTGCATGACTTCTTTGAAAAGTTCCTTGAACAAAGCAATCGCCACAGGATTGTCGATCCAGTGGGTGTAGTCGATCTTGCGGTTGGAGGCTTCTGTAAACAGGCCAAGAGCGTTGTTCACTGATTCAATGAGCAGCTTCTTCAGGTAGTGGGACTCCTTGACGTTGAACTCCTTGTCAAGCTCGTTGTCGAGTTGGACAACATCCAAAGCTTCGCGGTCTGCCGCCTTCTTCCAGTCAGTGATGGGGTCAGCCGCAGATGACATTGACTTCAACTTTGGATTAGTCCCAGCTGCATAACGTCCATGTCGACATTGTCCAGGAATCATGGTGTGGTCAATTCCTTTTGGGCAAAAGCGTCCCAAGGTACAGCGAATGCACTCGTAGAAGTTCTCGGTCTTCACCCGCATGAGGTCGCGGTTGTGGAGGTACTTGATGATGTCCTGCCGCATTCGTTGGCACATCTGTTTTGGGTACACTGCAGCAAGAGTGGTGCGATTGTGACCACCAGTCTGCCCTTGTAAATGAGCATGTGGTTGACCTTGATGACCACTGCACCTCAAAGCTGTCTTGTTGTACTTGATGTTGCCAATCAGGGCTGTTGCCTTCTGGACAGGATCACCAAGTTCGCTGACTGCACCATGCATGCATTGATCAACTCGTTGTTTCTTCTTGCAGTCAGGGATGCGGTCAAGGCGCAAGCCTTCATCCATCATGGCACTGCCGTAGGGCTGCTCCACAGTGTAGCCACGTCCTTCTCGGGATTGTTCTTCACAGCTGTTCTGGACAAAGTTCAGAGCTGGAAGATCATGAAGACGATCTTGATGTCGTAGTGCCGGATCCTTGGAACTTGATGACACACTCCAGGGTGCACAGTCAGGTGCATAGTGGATAGTGCCAGGCTTGAACTCTCGTTGGGCTTCCAGAAGCATGGCTTGATGAGAAGTGTTGTTGACGTCCCAGCCATACCTCATGTCGATTGGAGGTCCAACTGCCAAGCCTGAAAGCAAAAGCGTCAGGGAGAGTCTGCCTGAGCCACTGAAGATTTCCCAGAAGTGCCATCTCTTGTTTCTGCCCTTGGACTTGTTCATCCAACTGCGAAAGTTGGAGGGTGTCACTGGTCGATGACCACTTTGAGTGTAGAACTCCTCTTTGATCGCCTTGTAGCGCTTCTTCAGCTTGACATGGTCTGCTCCATCAGGAAGCATGTCCTCGGTGTAGATGGGAAAGTCAGACTCCTTGTAGCGGATGTCCAGGGAGTCTTTCTCATCCTTGTTGGAGGGCTCTTCAACGTTGTTGGATGCTGCTTCCAAAGAGGCAGGCTGATGCGCATCGTCGAAGTGCACCTTCTTGACAATCTTCGGCAACTCCTCAGTTGTCGCAGGAAAAGATGTAGGCCCGCAGAGCTTGGGCTCACTGGAAAAAACGTTGTGCTTGTTGGGCTCCTTTGTGGATTCCATGGAAGGCAAAATGCCTGGTTGTGAAACAGCTTCGACAGCATCGTGGTTCTTGTCCAAGTTGTGCTTGCCATCAGATTCATGGAGGACTGTCGCATCAGTGTCAGTCTTGTCGGGCTTGTCCATGATGTTGGCAGCTTTGTCGCCATTGTCCTTGTCGTCAGTAGAGGAGGATTCTTGTTGTTCACGATGTTCTCGTGATTCATATTGTTGTTGTTCACACCGGTTCCCTCCTGCCTGCGTCACAGCGAAGACATGAAGCAACCGGGGATTGATCTCGGACTTTGGCCATTTCTCGATGCTGCTTGAGAGCACTTTGCTGCAGAACGTGTAGGTCTCCTTTTGCACGTCCTTGGTGATCTTGGTCTCGTCAATGCCGTCGGTGGCAAGGATGTAGTGTCCGCTGTCAGTCAGCAGCAATCTCAGCAATCTCGATGACTGTGGCTCCTCTTTGTGGTTCATGGCGAGGAGTCCATCACCGTTGGAAAAGTAGTTGCTGAAAATGACACAGTTCATCTTCCTCAGGGAAGGATTTCCAACTAGAGCTGGGCAAAGAGAACCTTGTCCTCCAATCACTTCACCGCAGAACTTGATGGCCTTTCCAGACGACAGCAAAGGCACAGTGACTCGTCCAAGAGTCTGGTCAGACTTTCCATCTATGCCTGACACCGGTGAAGTCACGTCCTTCTCAATTGAGATCTCCTTGCCGAAGGGCTTGACACATGTTGCCACCAGATCTCGAAGGGTCTCTGATCCGATGAGTCCACTGGCAGCTCCTGGATCAATGATCAGGCCTCGACGTTTCTGTCCTCTGACCATGAAGTAGTCCGTGGCCTGGTAGTAGTTGTTGAAGGCAAAGCTGAAGGCCTCGTGGATGCGCTTCTCCGGCATGACAGCTCCATGTTCTTGTCCATGACCATCCGAAGTAGATCTTGTCCTGGTTGAAGATCTCGGGATGCTCATGAAGTCCTCTGCATCAGGCGGTGTGTGGATGTTGAACTCCTCGGAGTTGTCTTGCCTCGGCACATTGGAAGGGATTCCATCGTAGGCGTCCAAAGGGGGTCGATGGACGTACCAGTTGGTCTTGCCATAGCCTTTGGAACCCTTGTATCCACCTTTCTTGCCTTTGCCCTTGCCTTTGTAGTTTCCTTTGTAGTTGGGGCGCCATCGCCATCCACCTTTGCTCTTTCCTTTTGACTTGCCTTTCATTGATCCTTTTCCACCAGACTTGCCATAGCCCTTGTCATTCATCGGACAGTCTCTGGCCATGTGCCATTTGCTTCCACATCGAAAGCAACCATCGTTGTTGCCCTTGCCTTTGCTCTTCCCCTTGTAGTACTCTTCCTTGACCTCGTCGGCATTCTCAGGGTTCGTCTCCAGGGAGTCTTCATGGGCGGTTTGATAGCCTTCTTCTTGCCATTCTTGATCTTCATCATACCAGTCATCCATGTCGCCATAGTAGAGCTCTTCTCCATCCCAGTGCCAACTGCCTTCATCGTCGTAGCCGTAGTCGTGGGAGTAGTCATCGTACCAATAGTTCTCGGAGGAGTCATACCAGGCGTCATAGTTGACCGTCTCGTCATAGTCGTCCTGGTCCGCATAGAAGACGTCGCCGCCATGTTCTTCGGGTCGAGATGGAGACAACCTCAAAGCTAAAGCTCGAGCATCTGCAAAGCGACTGTGATCTCCTTGGACCTGAAGCTTGATGTCATCGATGGCCTTGTTGCTCAAACCTGAACCCTTGAAGAACAGGTAGAACTTCGCCACATCGTTCATGACAAGGCCGGCTCTGTCATGAGCCTCATCCATCCTCGAATCAAACTCCACCGCATACTCGGCAAGGCTCATCTTTCCTCTCGTGAGAGAGAAAAACCTCTCCAGCGCCTGAGTGGCCATGTCATGGTCTTGTTGGACAAAGGCATTGCGGAGAGCTTGAACCAAGTGTTGAACTCCGCTGGGAATGTGGGCTTGGATCACCTGGCCAGTATTTGGATCGACCACCTCGTCCACAGCCAATCTGACCAGCGTCGCATCGCCCACGTCGTAGGTGCCGTCAGGCCTTCTCACCCTCAGAGCCATCGCCACCTTTGAGGCACGGCCATACAAGCGGCCAGCTATCATTGGGCCGATCAGCTCGTCCTCCAAGCCACATACTCGGTACCATAACCTGAGCTTCTCAAAGTACTCCTTGAGCGGGTAGCTCGGGTTTCCGGGCATCCACCCCGGTGGAATATCCCTTCGATATTCCTGGAGCGGTATGCTTCCGCTCGAAGTCGGAGGCTGCTGCATCTTGTAGTCCACGAAGTCCAGCTTGAGGTCGAAGGCGTAGAGGTCGTTCAGGAGGATGCCGTAGACGAAGACCAAGAGGAGGTGGTAGGTGATGTTCAGGATGAAGCCACCACCAGCAGCCACCAGGAAGTGCGTCGCCGGGTTCTGCAGGTTGTAGTGCTCCTTCGTCGTGATGTCCTTGCCCTGGTCGTAGAACGCCACCACAGCAGCGCCAGACCCGCCGTGCTCACACGGCAACCTCGTTGGAGGTAGCAGCCGACCGAGCAGCAGCAGGCCAATGGCTCCGCAGATAGCGAGCACCGAAGCGCTCCGCTACCAAACTCGATTTTGATCCACTCAAGAGCGCTCTGCGGGGCAGTCAGTTGGTTACACTTCTGATCCTATGTGCGTGTCATCCTGTGCAGGGGCCATGCAAAACTTCACACCTTGTGTGTTTGGTCCGCTCTTTTGAATGATTTGTCTTGGAGTGCCAGCTCGTGTAAGCTTCAGTCTGAAGAGCGTAGGTGTTCGTCTCAGGAACCAACTATAGTAACTATAGACTCCAAAAGTTTCTTCAATTCATAGCACTTTCTCGCCCCGAGCGAAGGTGAATCTATGTGAATCTAAAGTTCCTCTCAGTTGTCACAAGTTGTCACAGCGAGATCCTGTCCCAAATTCAACTCCTGCAGGATACACAATTGAGGTTATCCCAGCAATTTTGGACACTATTTGTATTTTACAACTATACCCAATCTATAAATGGGATAACATGGGATAACCATCCTTACCATATCTATTCATATCTTACCATCATATCTAACATGATCCAACCATTTTATCACTGAACTAACCAACCACTTTCCATTCGTGATCCAGCCCCGTTCCCAGGCCTTTGCTGCTGCGACCTTGGACCTTGTAAGGCATGAGAACTTCAAACTTCCGAACTTCTCAGACACTGCAGATTTCCGGAAACTCTCGGAAAATTCTGAAAATGGAACTGGCGTTTTCACTTCAAATTTCGACTCCGAAACGGTGTCGTACAACGGGTCTGAGTCTAGGACGGCGGCGGCCAGAACAAAGAGCGCAGGTCGGCCATTCTGCCAATCAACGGCAAAGGCCTTGGCTCAGTGTTTGCCCAGAAATTCAGCCTTGGCCAAATGCCGAGTTGAAGCTGAGCTGGCAACAATTAAGGGATTCAGCCAGCTTTCACTTCTTGGAGAAGAAACAGCAACCATCGGGCAGAATGAGTCTCAGCAACGCGACATGGTTCTTCAGAGTAGCATTTGCCTGTAATGATCTGGACACGGAGAACCCTTTAAGGAAAGAATGATTTGCAGACCAAAATGCCCATAAAAATAGGCAACAGCACCCAAAAGCACTAGATGACTATAGACTATAGTATCATCAACAATAAAAGCCATGCTTCTTGCAAGCAGATGCTCTCTTGCACACAAACAATACCATACAAACGACTTTCTATCGCAGTAATTCTCTGTACAGTCACAAGCCACAGACTGGTGCAAGATGGCCTGCTAGTCGTTCCTTTGGTCGTTTTCTGTGCACGGCACAAATTAGTTGACAGGTCGTCAATCTTAATTTGAATTACATCGGTCTCGAAACTAAATTTCGGCCAGCAACTATACGTGTGGAGCGTTAGCTTTTAAGCTTCGGCACCCAGTCTGCTTCTGCTAGGCATAGCTAGGCCGTGAATTTTGACCCCTTGTGAGTCGAAGATGCATCTGTGAGCGTTGAAGATCAAAGATTGACCTTCACTCACAAATTTCAAAAGTGTGGAGTCAGCTGAGCATGCTGAGCACTGTGAATGCTCAAGAACTTCCTTGGAATCGGTTGGGCATTGCTGGTGCCTCTGGCGCAGAACTGTTCGTGCGAGGTGTGGAGACTCCAGTGCCCGTGGACCTCGATGATTCCACGACCTGTGGTTCAGCGGAGCCTGCAGCATCGGGTCGAGGGTTGGATTGCAGGGCTTTGGAAATTTTGCCGAATTCCAGGTCTAAAAGACTCCGAATCTCCATCATTGCCATCCTCGTTTCCTTATCCTTCATGTTCTTCTTCTTCTCCTCTTCATTCTCCTTGTCTTCTCCTCCGATGTGCTGGTGAGCAATGCCAATCAAGCTACACGCCCCGCATCCGGCTGCCACCACGAAAAGGCTGAAAAGCGTATACCATGGCAGGCCCTCGTCCTTGATTTTGGCGCAAACAATATCTGGTGAGTTTGCAGGGCAGGCATGTGGGGGCACCCGTGACTTGTTAAAGAAGAATGCAGTTTCAGAGGGGGCATATCTGAAGGTTTCGAGAGTCCGATAAGCTCGCTTGGATACGACAACTCCTGTAGGCATGTAAAACTCTGCTGTTGGTTCTTTGTAAAAGCCACAAAGCTCACCACGGCTTCGAAAAGTGTTCCAAGCCTCTTCCTCCAAAAGTGCAGCAGAACATTTTTTATCATTCAAGTTCTTCAGGACCTCTTCCCAGGTATCCAAATATACTGCCAAGATTTTGTCATTCCAGTGGGGCTCCAAAGATTCTTCAAAAACTAAATGAGTGCACACACTGACACGATTTGATCGGCTTTTTGCCTCCTCCAAGCTTGGAACCTCTCCTTCCACCTCTTTTGCTTGGATCATGTTTGTGGTGATGCCGGCACCATACACTGCCGTGCTGAGCAAAACGAAGAAGCCCAAAGCCAAACGTAGCATGTGGGATGGACGAGAGCGGCTTGGTTTGTTCGAGTCCCTCCTGTGGCTGGTTTTTGACTTGTTGACAAAGGCCTCAAACACACCAAGAAGGGCATCAGCGAGTCCGTGTGTAAAACAGCAAAAGCACTTGCAGAACTTCTCCACGCGTTGTTGCCATTTGTCTTGGGGCTTTTCGGGCTCCTCGGGTGGCTCTTCGAGCTCTCCCTGCTCTTCAGGCTCTTCTCCGGATTGTCTGTCAAGATTGTCAAGGCAGTCAAGGCATTTGTCAAGGCCTTTCATGGCGACAATGAAGAAGAAGACCACTCCCACGAAGAAACCCCAAGCTCCGAGACTGAAGACATCAACACACCAGAACCAGAACTTCCAAGATCCCCAGTCTTCTGACGCAAAGAAATTACACTTGCTTTTGGATACCATGAAGACTGGAGAGGTGTACAACTCGATCATGAAGGTCATTGCTTGCCTCCGATGGGTCAAGGCGAATGCCCCAGAGCACAAGTCCACATAACCCATTCCTGTTGAAGGCACACAAATCAAAGTTGGTGGTACTAGTAGGCCTTTCAGACCATTCCTTCGGAAATCTTCCCTTGTACTCTTCAAAAGCCTTCGTGAGGTTGTAGTCAATAAAGTATTGGTCGATGCCCTCCTCACCCCTTCTGATGACTGTATGGTCAATTCTAACTTGGGAATGGTTGAGCTCATCTAGCGCCCTTTCCCAAAACTCTGCTACGCGACCTTGGCAGTTCCGGTTTTGCGAATATTTATCGTATCTGCGGCATTCGGTGTTTCCCAAGTAGCCTCGTACCAAACCGCTCTCCGGGTGCAAGACCCGGAGGGAATCATTCTGCTGAAATGCGGCCAGCGACTTTTGGAAAAACTCGGCAGTCCCTTGTCGCAGGTTCCCACAGGTTGCATAAGAATAGGGGCCCAACACACCCCAGTCCCAGTCCACACTGCAATTTTGTGGGTTGACATAGCACCACGATGTTTTGCACCAAGGTGATTCAGAGAATTGGTTGCATTCAAGCTGTGCTGCTGCATCGCTCTCGTAAATATGAACTGCACAGGCAGCACTTATGTTGCGGGTGTTGCAGCCAATCCCAAATTGTTCATGACATGATCCGGTCCAGTTTTGACACCGCCCACTCGGAGGAATGCTTTGCTATGCATGGGCATCTGTCTGGATGGGATCCAAGTGTGATGTGGGGAAGTGCCAACAGGAGTGCCAAAGCCGCAAAAGCAAAGAATCTCATGGCTTCGACTGATGCTACTTCCAAGTTCTCAGCGCTCTCCACTTAAACTTCCACGTCCACGTCAGGATAATTCAGCAAAGAATCCGATAAAATTCAGTGCAACCAAACACCAGACTGGTACGTCATGGTACGTCGTATGTGATAAAACATAATGCATGATATCATACCATCCCGCGATCAACCACCATCAGACTCCGGCTTTCTTCACTTCACCGTCTTTGCATCAGCTGAGACAAGGATTCCAGGTAGCAATCGACCTGATCGAAATTCGTCCAAATTGCTCAATTTGGGCTGTTTGTGTGGTCTTGAAATGGCTCGTGAAGCTGATCATAAACCAGTTTTTTTCGTTTCACCATATTTCACCCGTCCATGTTGCAGATCAAATGAATTTTGAACCACGCCCATCTTATCCAACAGAGAATCGAGATTGGATCATGCCGGCAACTCGAGCCTGTTGCGCCCGGCGTGGATTTCGAAAGCGTGAAGGCAGCAGCCATCAAGTCGTCTGTGGACAACCTCAGCCGCTGTCGGAGCATGGCCTTAAGAAACATCTCGTACCGCGTCAAGACTTGATTAACCCAGCAATGAGCATCCACCGATCCATCCATGATCCATCCACTCATTCATCAATTCATTTATTCAGTCAGTCAGGCGTCAATCCATCCCTGGATCCAGCATCATCCGTCAAACATCATCCATCAAACATCATCGAACCACGGATTCATCCATTGATCACTGCATTTCTCCTTGCTGCAACCTATTGATTTTCCGGTTCGTTTTGGAACTTCAATTGGAGCCAAGCCGCCTTCGAAGTCCAGCGTCGTGTCCCAGCATCATTCCGATGGGACGCGGCACCTGGAACCACCCCGCCAAGACCACCCGAGATCCCGCGAGTTTCGGGTGGAAGTGGAGATCTGGGAACATCAAAACCGCCAAAATTGCCACCGTAGCTGACCTTTTGAATATAATTACCAAAGCATCCAACTTGAAGTACTGGCCACAAAGATCAATTCCGGGTGGGTCCAGTGGACACCAGGTCACCACGTATGTTCATCTTGGAACCTCCAACGTCCATCTGGTTGTTTGACACCAAGAGCTTTGAGCCCCACCCAAAGCAATGCACCCGTTTTGGTTAGCAGCTGGATTCAGATCTGGTATGTTCGAAAATGATCCAAATAAACATGAAACATCATGAAACACACTCATGTCATCTCATGTCCATCCCCGAACGTTCCATGTGATGTATGTGCCACTCCCAATGATACCTCAGCGACTCAGCGTTGCCATGCGCCGAAGAATGTAAAGCTGCACCTGGGCTCAGTCCATCTGCCAACATCGACAGTCCAAGGTTCAAACAAAGCACAATGCGACAACATTCACAACTATCATCAACTATCCCATGATCCGGAACTGCCCGTTATATCCAGCTGCTTTTCATACCTCAAATTGTACATCCCACCAGTCACATCACTTGGTTTCCCGCATAATTTTGCATCTCGAGCCTTGGCAACATGCTGGACTGCATTGAAATTCAATGCCCACAATCAAAACATGACAAGTTATGACAAGTTGACTTTGTTTATCTTTCAAGAAACTTCTGCCAAAGAAATGGAGAAGCAAAAACTTCCACACAATTCCACAAGTGCATTGCTTGATCAGGCGAGTTCCTAGCATGAATATTTGCCTCAAGCAACGGAATCGCCATGCCATGCACAGCTTACAGCACCCACAGTTCGACAAACTGATGCCATTTGACAATTTCTTGAAATCATGACATTAGTTCTAGTAGCCGGGCATTGGGCTGAGCGGACTGACGGCAGGAAAAACCTCTTTAAGAGGGGGAAAAACCTGCCAGTGGTGATACTCTCCTTTAGGGAGCAAACCTTGACAAACATTATCCATGACAATCATGGAAAGCAGCCAAACCTGCGTTTTCATGTGCCCTCTTCGGGGCGAGCGGCAACCTGCTCTTGAGGTTGTCCCTGCGTCGGTCAGCTTGAGCTGCAGATCCATCTGCGCCAAATGAGTGCTCCGCCGTCTGTGCTCTCCGAAAGCCTTGCCCATTTCAACACATAAGAGAGGTCTTCCATTTGTTCCAGCACGTCTGCCTTCTTGCGAGCAGCCAATAGCCCTACTTGCCCATCGAAAATCAATTCTTGCAGCTTCTCATTGAATGCCTTCTTGTCTGGGATCTTTTCTAGAATTTGTTGCACATCTTCAGGACGACTGGCTTTCATATCTTCCACCCTGATGTCTTGCAAGGTGCTTTGCCTCGTCATCAAGGTAGCAGTGTTCCTGAGCATCAGGTTCTGCGCCATGCCCATGCGATGAGCTTCAAACAATTCCGCCACACACCAGGCACGCCCAAATAGGTCCAGGTTGGCATCCACAGCAATGACCTCTGTAAAATTTGGATCTTTTCGTGCCAGAAATGCCATCATGTCATCAAATTTGTTCATCTCACACTTGATGCTCTCACCATGCTCATTCAATGGTGGGTCCTTATTGAAGAACTTTGGAGCGTTGCAAGTGCATATGGGATGTGGGATTTTTGTGACTGGATCGACGTCTCCGTTGGGGTTTCCTCCACAAATTGAAGCGTGCTGATTGACTGAAAACGCACAGATCCAGTAGGTTTCCTGAAGACGCTCTTGAACCTGGAGAATTTGCTCCACAACCTCAACCCCTTCCTTGTCGGATAACAACTTCGCAATCAGCTCGAAGTTGTGTTCTCCCAGAGCATCAGCAATGACGCTAGCTAGCAGGTCACGGAAGAGATTTTGCCAGTTGTGCGTGACCATTTTCTTAGGAATCACCTTCTTGCCATTGTTCACAAACTCAGCATAGGAGCTACCAGCGGAAGAAGTTCGTGGAATGATTCCAAGTCTAACCACATCGTTGGTGGTGTGAACATCTGGCTGGAAGGACGGCATAATGCCGAAGCCCAAATTGCTGTAAAATTCCAATATGTCTGACAAAGAGATCCCACGGCTGGCCAGTTCTTCAGTCTTTGCTTCCCAATCTGACCCCTTTATCATGCCAGTGTCAGTGTCACTGTCATGGCGTAAGTGAGAGCGGGGACACACTTGGCAGCCAAATCTGGATGGAGTCCATGAGAGGGCGGGGGGCCTTGCAGATCCAGGCAGTCGAAAAAGTCTGTATGCTTTCGATAAGAGGATAACCCCGGCCACGTTCACCACGCTGTTGATACACTGAGCTACAGCAAAAGAGAAGCTGGGGATGTGCAAGCCCCAATAATGTCCAGGATCATCATCAGGAGTCTCGAACTCGAAAGCCTCACTAAAAGTAACCTTAAAGAGACTAAAGCTTGTTGCGAAACTGGCAAGGAAGCCAATTCCTTGCCAAAAGCTCCGTCTCCTACAAGCAATAAGGCGCTGCACAGCAGTGGAATTCTCTTCTTTTCGAGCCATCTGCAAGGTTCGACGAAGCATCAAGACTACACGGCACAACGTGGTGGCAACGCCAAGGACCCACATCACGAACACAAGCTTTACAAGGTCTGCTGCAGTGGATAATATTACCACAAGGATCAAATCGAAATTAACCCCCCGCACCACCAAAAACTCCGTCGGATAAAGAAATGACAGGAGTGCAAATTCAAGCCAATAGGCTCGCCCAAGGAATGCTCCCCATCGTGGGGAGTTCAAAGCTGGCCAAATACTCTTCAAACGATCTTGGGCGAGATATTGCAGCCCCAGAAGTTCAAAAATCAAGACAACCAGCTAGAAACAGGGAGCATAATCCTCCAAGCCAGTTGAGAATCAAAAAGCGTGCTGCCAGAAGCAGGTGTTGCGTTGGGGCAATGAGCCACAGCAAGACAGCTGCTCCCCCAGCTAGCGCATTGCTCGCAATAAGACAGCAAACAAGAAAAATGGAGTCGGACTTGTAAGAAGAGGATCTATAAAGCTCACATGCAAGTGCACCAGACAGGCAGGCGGCGACAATCACGGCCACACAAAGAAATGTGCGATGAGTCCATCTCTGAATCCACCAGGTTTGGCTCTGATCCCGGCTTCGGATTGGCGAATCAAGTTCTGATGGTGATCCAGGCACGTCCGTCACGTCCACATCGCCTGCAGCAGCTTTCACTGGTCCGTCCAGTGCACACCTGACACGCCCAAGCAGAACAGGCCCAGCCGACGACATGGCACACGGCCACCCTGAAAAGCTGACAGCGGGTGAGAGCCGGAGTGATGCTCTGTTCAGACCCCGGCTTCAACAGAGAAAGTTGATTTTAGAAAAAAAAACTGGATTTTCCTCAGTTTTGCTGGTGCTTTGTTTTTTTTTTGTTTCTTCTTTTGTTTTTGTTTTTTATTTTTTCTATGAAACCCTATATTCTCTGTGCTGTTGGGCTCATAACTTTGTTGGGCCAAAATTCTACACACACACACAGTATATCACACACAATATCACACACCTTGTGTGTTTGATCCGCTCTTTTGAATGAGTTGTCTTGGAGTGCCAGCTCGTGTAAACTTCAGTCTGAAGAGCGTAGGTGTTCGTCTCAGGAGCCTAGTTATAGACTCCAAAGGTTTCTTCAATTCATAGATGCACTTTCTCGCCCCGAGCGAAGGTGAATCTATGTGAATCTAAAGTTCCTCTCAGTTGTCACAAGTTGTCACAGCAAGATCCTGTCCCAAATTCAACTCCTGCAGGATCTTACGTGACACAATTGAGGTTATCCCAGCAATTTTGGAGACGATTTTTATTTTACAACTATACCCAATCTATAAAATCTATAAATGGGAAAACCATCCTTACTATCATATCTATTCATATCTTGCCATCATATCTTGCTTTCCGGCACTCATACTTTGAACCGAAAAACGGCCAAACGGATTCATTCCACCGTCAAGCAAACAGTCGAAACGACTCACAAACATGATCCAACCATTTTATCACTGAACTAACCAACCACTTTCCATTCGTGATCCAGCCCCGTTCCCAGGCCTTTGCTGCTGCGACCTTGGACCTTGTAAGGCATGAGAACTTCAAACTTCCGAACTTCTCAGACACTGCAGATTTCCGGAAACTCTCGGAAAACTCTCGGAAAACTCTCGGAAAACTCTCGGAAAATTCTGAAAATGGAATTGGTATGAATTGGTGTGTTCACTTCCAAATTTCGACTCCGAAACGGTGTCGTACAACGGGTCTGAGTCTAGGACGGCGGCGGCCAGAACAAAGAGCGCAGGTCGGCCGTATTCTGCCAATCAACGGCAAAGGCCTTGGCTCAGTGTTTGCACAGTAATTCAGCCTTGGCCAAATGCCGAGTTGAAGCTGAGCTGGCAACAATTAAGGGATTCAGCAACCATCGGAATGAGTCTCAGCAACGCGGTCTTCGCATTCCCAGGTATCCAGATATACTGCCAAGATTTTGTCATTCCAGTGGGACTCCAAAGATTCTTCAAAAACTGAATGAGTGCACACACTGACACGATTTGGTCGGCTTTTTGCCTCCTCCAAGTTTGGAACCTCTCCTTCCACCTCTTTTGCTTGGATCATGTTTGCGGTGATGCCGGCACCATACACTGCCGTGCTCAGCAAAACGAAGAAGCCCAAACCCAAACGTAGCATGTGGGATGGACGAGAGCGGCTTGGTTTTTTCGGGTCCCTCCTGTGGCTGGTGTTCGACTTGTTGACAAAGGCCTCAAACACACCAAGAAGGGCATCAGCGAGTCCGTGTGTAAAACAGCAAAAGCACTTGCAGAACTTCTCCACGCGTCGTTGCCATTTGTCTTGGGGCTTTTCGGGCTCCTCGGGTGGCTCTTCGGGCTCTCCCTGCTCTTCAGGCTCTTCTCCGGATTGTCTGTCAAGATTGTCAAGGCAGTCAAGGCATTTGTCAAGGCCTTTCATGGCGACAATGAAGAAGAATACCACTCCCACGAAGAAACCCCAAGCTCCGAGACTGAAGACATCAACCCACCAGAACCAGAACTTCCAAGATCCCCAGTCTTCTGACGCAAAGAAATTACACTTGCTTTTGGATACCATGAAGACTGGAGAGGTGTACAACTCGATCATGAAGGTCATTGCTTGCCTCCGATGGGTCAAGGCGAATGCCCCAGAGCACAAGTCCACATAACCCATTCCTGTTGAAGGCACACAAATCAAAGTTGGTGGTACTAGTAGGCCTTTCAGACCATTCCTTCGGAAATCTTCCCTTGTACTCTTCAAAAGCCTTCGTGAGGTTGTAGTCAATAAAGTATTGGTCGATGCCCTCCTCACCCCTTCTGATGACTGTATGGTCAATTCTAACTTGGGACTGGTTGAGCTCATCTAGCGCCCTTTCCCAAAACTCTGCTACGCGACCTTGGCAGTTCCGGTTTTGCGAGTATTTATCGTATCTGCGGCATTCGGTGTTTCCCAAGTAGCCTCGTACCAAACCGCTCTCCGGGTGCAAGACCCGGAGGGAATCATTCTGCAGAAATGCGGCCAGCGACTTTTGGAAAAACACGGCAGTCCCTTGTCGCAGGTTCCCACAGGTTGCATAAGAATAGGGGCCCAACACACCCCAGTCCCAGTCCACACTGCAATTTTGTGGGTTGACATAGCACCACGATGTTTTGCACCAAGGTGATTCAGAGAATTGGTTGCATTCAAGCTGTGCTGCTGCATCGCTCTCGTAAATATGAACAGCACAGGAAGCACTTATGTTGTGGGTGTTGCAGCCAATCCCAAATTGTTCATGACATGATCCGGTCCAGTTTTGACACCGCCCACTCGGAGGAATGCTTTGCTATGCATGGGTATCTGTCTGGATGGGATCCAAGTGTGATGTGGGGAAGTGCCAGCCAGGGTGCCAAAGCCGCAAAAGCAAAGAATCTCATGGCTTCGACTGATGCTACTTCCAAGTTCTCAGCGCTCTCCACTTAAACTTAAGCCATTCACGTTGCGGGTTTGAAAAATTGACCCACGTCCACGGGTCCACGTCAGGATAATTCAGCAAAGAATCCGATAAAATTCAGTGCAACCAAACAGACTGGTACGTCGTATGTGATAAAAACATAATGCATGATATCATCCCGCGATCAACCATCAGACTCCGGCTTTCTTCACTTCACCGTCCAGCTTTGCATCAGCTGAGACAAGGATTCCAGGTAGCAATCGACCTGATCGAACTTCGTCCAAATTGCTCAATTTGGGCTGTTTGTGTGGTCTTGAAATGTCTCGTGAAGCTGATCATAAACCAGTTTTTTTCCTTTCACATCCTTTCACCATATTTCACCCGTCCATGTTGCAGATCAAATGAATTTTGAACCACGCCCATCTTATCCAACAGAGAATCGAGATCGGACCATGTCGGCAACTCGAGCCTGTTGTGCCCGGCGTGGATTAAAGCGTGAAGGCAGCAGCCATCAAGTCGTCTGTGGACAACCTCAGCTGTCAGAGCATGGCAGAAACATCTCGTACCGCGTCAAGACTTGATTAACCAAGCAATGAGCATCCACCGATCCATCCATGATCCATCCACTCATTCATCAATTCATTTATTCAGTCAGGCGTCAATCCATCCCTGGATCCGACATCATCCAGCATCATCCATCAAACATCATCGAACCATGATGAACCATGGATTCATCCATTGATCACTGCATTTCTCCTTGCTGCAACCTCATGATTTTCCGGTTCGTTTTGGAACTTCAATTGGAGCCAAGCCGCCTTCGAAGCCCAGCGTCGTGTCCCAGCATCATTCCGATGGGACGTGGCACCTGGAACCACCCCGCCAAGACCACCCGAGATCCCGCGAGTTTCGGGTGGAAGTGGAGATGTGGGAACTGTGGGAACATCAACACCGCCAAAATTGCCACCGTAGCTGACCTTTTGAATATAATTACCAAAGCAACTTGAAGTACTGGCCACAAAGATCAAATCCGGGTGGGTCCAGTGGACACCAGGTCACCACGTATGTTCATCTTGGAACCTCCAACGTCCATCGTGGTTGTTTGACACCGAGAGCTTTGAGCCCCACCCAAAGCAATGCACCCGTTTCGGTTAGCAGCTGAATTCAGATCTGGTATGTTCGAAAGTGATCTAAATAAACATGAAACATCATGAAACACACTCATGTCATCTCATGTCCATCCCCGAACGTTCCATGTGATGTATGTGCCACTCCCAATGATACCTCAGCGACTCAGCGTTGCCATGCGCCGAAGAATGTAAAGCTGCACCTGGGCTCAGTCCATCTGCCAACATCGACAGTCCAAGGTTCAAACAAAGCACAATGCGACAACATTCACAACTATCATCAACTATCCCATGATCCGGAACTGCCGGTCATATCCAGCTGCTTTTCATACCTCAAATTGTACATCCCACCAGTCACATCACTTGGTTTCCCGCATAATTTTGCATCTCGAGCCTTGGCAACATGCTGGACTGCATTGAAATTCAATGCCCACAATCAAAACATGACAAGTTATGACAAGTTGACTTTGTTTATCTTTGAAGAAACTTCTGCCAAAGAAATGGAGAAGCAAAAACTTCCACACAATTCCACAAGTGCATTGCTTGATCAGGCGAGTTCCTAGCATGAATATTTGCCTCAAGCAACGGAATCGCCATGCCATGCACAGCTTACAGCACCCACAGTTCGACAAACTGATGCCATTTGACAATTTCTTGAAATCATGACATTAGTTCTAGTAGCCGGACATTGGGCTGAGCGGACTGACGGCAGGAAAAACCTCTTTAAGAGGGAAAAAAACCTGCCAGTGGTGATACTCTCCTTTAGGGAGCAAACCTTGACAAACATTATCCATGACAATCATGGAAAGCAGCCAAACCTGCGTTTTCATGTGCCCTCTTCGGGGCGAGCGGCAACCTGCTCTTGAGGTTGTCCCTGCGTCGGTCAGCTTGAGCTGCAGATCCATCTGCGCCAAATGAGTGCTCCGCCGTCTGTGCTCTCCGAAAGCCTTGCCCATTTCAACACATAAGAGAGGTCTTCCATTTGTTCCAGCACGTCTGCCTTCTTGCGAGCAGCCAATAGCCCTACTTGCCCATCGAAAATCAATTCTTGCAGCTTCTCATTGAATGCCTTCTTGTCTGGGATCTTTTCTAGAATTTGTTGCACATCTTCAGGACGACTGGCTTTCATATCTTCCACCCTGATGTCTTGCAAGGTGCTTTGCCTCGTCATCAAGGTAGCAGTGTTCCTGAGCATCGGGTTCTGCGCCATGCCCATGCGATGAGCTTCAAACAATTCCGCCACACACCAGGCACGCCCAAATAGGTCCAGGTTGGCATCCACAGCAATGACCTCTGTAAAATTTGGATCTTTTCGTGCCAGAAATGCCATCATGTCATCAAATTTGTTCATCTCACACTTGATGCTCTCACCATGCTCATTCAATGGTGGGTCCTTATTGAAGAACTTTGGAGCATTGCAAGTGCATATGGGATGTGGGATTTTTGTGACTGGATCGACGTCTCCGTTGGGGTTTCCTCCACAAATTGAAGCGTGCTGATTGACTGAAAAGGCACAGATCCAATAGGTTTCCTGAAGACGTCCTTGAACCTGGAGAATTTGCTCCACAACCTCAACCCCTTCCTTGTCGGATAACAACTTCGCAATCAGCTCGAAGTTGTGTTCTCCCAGAGCATCAGCAATGACGCTAGCTAGCAGGTCACGGAAGAGATTTTGCCAGTTGTGCGTGACCATTTTCTTAGGGATCACCTTCTTGCCATTGTTCACAAACTCAGCATAGGAGCTACCAGCGGAAGAAGTTCGTGGAATGATTCCAAGTCTAACCACATCGTTGGTGGTGTGAACATCTGGCTGGAAGGATGGCATAATGCAAACGCCCAAATTGCTGTAAAATTCCAATAGGTCTGACAAAGAGATCTCACGGCTGGCCAGTTCTTCAGTCTTTGCTTCCCAATCTGACCCCTTTATCATGCCAGTGTCAGTGTCACTGTCATGGCGTAAGTGAGAGCGGGGACACACTTGGCAGCCAAATCTGGATGGAGTCCATGAGAGGGCGGGGGGCCTTGCAGATCCAGGCAGTCGAAAAAGTCTGTATGCTTTCGATAAGAGGATAACCCCGGCCACGTTCACCACGCTGTTGATACACTGAGCGACAGCAAAAGAGATCCTGGGGATGTACAAGCCCACAAGATATCCAGGATCATCAAGAAGAGTCTCCAAAACCTCACTAATTGCAACTTGAAACAGAATAAAGGATGTTGCCAAACTGGCAAGGAAGCCAATTCCTTGCCAAAAGCTCCGTCTCCTACAAGCAATAAGGCGCTGCACAGCAGTGGAATTCTCTTCTTTTCGAGCCATCTGCAAGGTTCGACGAAGCATCAAGACTACGCGGCACAACGTGGTGGCAACGCCAAGGACCCACATCACGAACACAAGCATTACAAGGAGTGCTGCAGGGGATGTTACCACAAGGATCAAATCGAAATTAACCCTCTGCACCACCAAAATCATCTGCGTCAGATAAAGAAATGGCAGGAGTGCAAATTCAAGCCAAAAGGCTCGCCCAAGGCATGCTCCCCATCGTGGGGAGTTCAAAGCTGGCCAAATACTCTTCAAACGATCTTGGGCGAGATATTGCAGCCCCAGAAGTTCACAAACCAAGACAATTCCCCTAAACCCTAGTAGAAACAGGGAGCATAATCCTCCAAGCCAGTTGAGCATCAAAAAGCGTGCTGCCAGAAGCAGGTGTTGCGTTGGGGCAATGAGCCACAGAAAGACAGCTGCTGCCCCAGCTAGCGCATTGCTCGCAATAAGAAAGCAAACAAGAAAAATGGAGTCAGACTTGTAAGAAGAGGAATCATGAAGAGCATATACAAGTGCACCAGACAGGCAGGCGGCGACAATCACGGCCACACAAAGAAATGTGCGATGAGTCCATCTCTGAATCCACCAGGTTTGGCTCTGATCCCGGCGTCGGATTGGCGAATCAAGTTCTGATGGTGATCCAGGCACCTCCGTCACGTCCACATCGCCTGCAGCAGCTTTCACTGGTCCGTCCAGTGCACACCTGACACGCCCAAGCAGAACAGGCCCAGCCGACGACATGGCACACGGCCACCCTGAAGAGCTGACAGCGGGTGAGAGCCGGAGTGATGCTCTGTTCAGACCCCGGCTTCAACAGAGAAAGTTGATTTTAGCAAAGAAAAAACTGGATTTTCCTCAGTTTTGCTGGTGCTTTGTTTTTTTTTGTTTGTTTCTTGTTTTGTTTTTGTTTTTTATTTTTTCTATGAAACCCTATATTCTCTGTGCTGTTGGGCTCATAACTTTGTTGGGCCAAAATTCTACACACACACACAATATCACACGTTTGATCCGCTCTTTTGAATGATTTGGTGTTTTCACTTCAAATTTCGACTCCGAAACGGTGTCGTACAATGGGTCTGAGTCTAGGACGGCGGCGGCCAGAACAAAGAGCGCGGATCGGCCATTCTGCCAATCAACGGCAAAGGCCTTGGCTCAGTGTTTGCCCAGGAATTCAGCCTTGGCCAAATGCCGAGTTGAAGCTGAGCTTGCAACAATGAAGGGATTCAGCCAGCTTTCACTTCTTGGAGAAGAAACAGCAACCATCGGAATGAGTCTCAGCAACGCGACATGGTTCTTCAGAGTACTTGCTGGTGTGTGTATGTGCATTTGCATGTAATGATCTGGACACGGAGAACCCTTTAAGGAAAGAACGATTTGCAGACCAAAATGCCCATAAAAATGTGCAACAGCACCCAAAAGCACTAGATGACTATAGTATCATCAACAATAAAAGCCATGCTTGCAAGCAGATGCTCTCTTGCACACAAACAACCATACAAACGATTTTCTATCGCAGTAATTCTCGGGACAGTCACAAGCCACAGACTGGTGCAAGATGGCCTGCTAATGTTTCCCAGTGTTTCCTTTGTTGGTTTTCTGATTTTTCTGTGCAGGGCACAGGGAATTGACAGGTTGTCAATAATTTGAATTTCATCGGTTTGGGTCGACGAAATTTCGGCCAGCAACCAAAAACGCGTGGAGCGTGGAGCGTCGGCGTCATTCAGCTCCAGGCAGCTGGGTGTGCTTCTGCACCCAGTCTGCTGCTAGGCATAGCTCGGCCGTGAATTCTGATGAATTCTGACCCCTTCTGAGTCGAAGATGCATCTGTGCGCGTTAAGTCGAATTAAGATCAAAGAATGATCATTACTCACAAATTTGAAAAGCGTGGAGTCAGCTGAGCCCTGTGAATGCTCAAGAACATGAACTTCCTTGGAATCGGTTGTTTGGTGGGCATCGATGCCTCCGGGCAAATGTTCGTGGGTTTGTTGGGAGGTGTGGTGCTGGAGCTTCCACTGCCGGTCGACCTCGCAGATGATTCCACGTCATCTTGTACAGCATTGGAGCCTGCTGCATCTGATTGGGGTCGAAGGTTGGATTGCTTGAGGACTTGGGAAGATTGGCCGAATTCAAGGTCTACTAAAAGGCTCTCAATCTTGGCCATGTTTGCCTTGTTCATTTCCTCATCCTTCATGTTCTTCTTCCTATCCTCTTCAAGGACTTTGGACATTTTGCCGAATCCGTCTAAAAGACTCTGAATCTTTGTCATGTTTGCCTTGTTCATTTCCTCATCTTTCGTCTTCTTCTCCTTCTCCTCTTCAGTCTGCTTGTTCTCCTCATCTTGCCTTACAAAGTGATGGTGAGCAACGCCAATCAAGCTACACACCCCGCATCCGGCTGCCACCACGAAAAGGCTGAAAAGCGTATACCATGGCACGCCCTCGTCCTTGATTTTGGCGCAAACAGTATCTGGTGAGTTTGAAGGGCAAGCATTTGGGAGCACCGGTGACTTGTCAAAGAAGAATGCAGTTTTAGAGGCAGCAAATCGGAAGGTTTCGAGAGTCCGATAAGCTCGCTTGGATACGACGGCTCCTGTAGGCACATAAAGCTCTGCTGTTGGTTCTTTGTGATAGCCACAAAGCTGTTTGCGGCTTCGAAATGTGTTCCAAGCCTCATCATCCAAAAGTGCAGCAGAACATTTTTTACCATTCAAGTTCTTCAAAACATCTTCCCACCTTTTTGAGAATGTTGTCAAGTTGGCAACTTGGAAGGGCCGCAGAGGTTCTTCATAAACTACGTGGGTGCATAGAGGAATTTTCCGTTGTGATGCCTCTTCCAGGCTTGGAACCTCTCCTTTTATCTCTTTTGCTGAGACCATCTCAGCAGTGACGCCGCCACCATACACTGCCGTGCTCAGCAAAATGAAGAAGCCCAGGCCCAAACGTAGCATGTGGGATGGACGAGCGCGGCTTGGTTTGTTCGAGTCCCTCCTGTGGCTGGTTTTCGACTTGTTGACAAAGGCCTCACACACACCAAGAAGGGCATCACCAAGTCCGTGTGTGAAACAGCAAAAGCACTCGCGGAACTTCTGCATGCATCGCGCTTCCTCATCTTTCTTTGGAGGTGGCCCGGGTAGTTTGTCAAGGCATCCTTCCGGATGACCTGCACTAGCATGCGCTGCTCCTGCCTCCGCTGCGGCTGCTACCGAAGCAGGAGCAGCTGCCCCTGCACGTGCTGGTCTGGATGGTGTGTCAAGCCAGTCAAGCCAATGGTCAAGTCCTTTCATGGCGACAATGAAGAAGAATACCACTCCCACGAAGAAACCCCAAGCTTCAGGACTGAAGATAGAGATCCACCACCCCCAGTACTTCTTTCCTGAATCTGACGCAAAGAAATCACACTTGCTTTTGGATACCATGAAGAGTGGAGCGGTGTACAACTCGATGACATAGGTCATTGCTTGCCTGCGATGAGTCAAGGCGAATGCCCCAGTGCACAAGTCCGCATAACCCATTCCTGTTGCGAAGGCACACAGATCAAAGTTGGTGGTAGCTCTCGAAATCTTGCCTTGTACTCTTCAAAAGCTTTGCTGAGGTTGTAGTCAATGAAATACTGGTCGATGCCATTCTCGATGCCCTCCTCAACCCTTTTGATGACTCTATGGTCAATTTGAACTTTGGACTGGTTGAGCTCATCCAGTGACCCTTCCCAAAACTTTGCTACGCGACCTCCGCAATGCCGGTTTTGCGAGTATTTATAGACTTTGCTGCAACCGGTATTTCCCAAGTAGCCCCCTTCCAAAGTGCTCTCTGCGTGGAAGACCCGGAGAGAATCACCCTCCAGAAATACGGCCAGCGACTTTTGGAAAAACTCGGCAGTCCCTTGTCGCAGGTTCCCACAGGTGGCATAGGAATAGGCCTGCCCCAACACACCCCATTCAAAATCCAAATTGCAATTTTGTGGGTCGACATAGCACCACTCCGTTTCGCACCAAGGTGATTCCCCTGAATTGGAGGGACCGCATTTGAGCTGTGCTGCAGTTTCACTCTCATAAATATGAACTGCACAGGAAGCATTTATGTCGTGAGTGTTGCAGCCAAGGCCAAATCGGTTAGGACACAATCCGTTGTGCTCCAGAGTTTTCACTGCCTTCTCGGAGGAATGGTTTCCTATGCATGGGCATCTGTCTGAATGGGATCCAAGTGTGATGTGGGGAAGTGCCAACAGGAGTGCCGCAAAAGCGAAGAATCTCATGGCTTCGACTGATGCTACTTCCAAGTTCTCAGCCCTCTCCACTTAAACTTAAGCCATTCAGTTGCGGGTTCGATAATCTTGACATATCTTGACCATGTCCATTCAGTGAGAAATCCTGTAGAATCCGTTGATACCAAGCGACAGACCGCATGGATCGAGTTTCCAATGAGAATCTGGAGGAAAATACTGGTGTTTATCTCCAAATATGTGTGCAGTCTTTAATTTTTCCTCAAACCCAATTCTGAGACAGAGATTGTCCAAAACAATCAAAAAAAACGCAAAGAGCTACAGCCTTTTGCAACTTCGCCGGTTTGTCCAGCGCGGCAGGCTTGACCAGGGGGGCGCAACAAGCGAAAATGTGAAGCGAGCAACTTTCATTGAAAGGGTCGCCCTGCACCCAATCTACGGAAAAGTTGGTTGGTTTTATATCTGTAATTAAAACATATTAAAACAGCCTATATAGTATAGATTGTGGATTCATATGATTATAGACTGTCATATTCACGTACAACCTACAGGGAAAGCAAAACTTGGGTTGGCAACCTCCCACAATCTGCCTCTGTAAGAATTCATTCACCTGTTGAAAAAGGTCATTGTCGCAAGTCGCCATAGCTCCCCTAGTCGCCAGATTGAAAAGATGTCGAACATTGTCGAACTGCAATTTGGATTGCCCGCAGTTCGTAAGAACTCAGCCTTCAAATGTCTGACTTGGTCTTTCTAAACGATCGCTGTGCCTGGGAATTTTGGCAGTTGCCAGCTACAGAGGTCACATCGTCAAGGAGCACGTCTTTTGCGATGTGGATGTTCACACCGTCCTGCCACTGCGGCAACCCGGCAACATGCGGCAAAACACATCTCATAAAAAACCCAATGCATGTGCTTCGCTGTTTTTCTCAGCATTGGTCCACAGTGACAATCGAACTGCAGAGATTGTGTGATTTGTCCTGCTACAGCAATTTGGCTTAGATCTTCATTCGGATTGAGGCATGCAGGGATCAAACGCCACCTGAGTGTAGGCTATATTGGACAGCACCACAGCTTCAGTTGAGAAAGCACCACAGCTTCAGTCAGAGAAAGAAGTCACTCAGCACACGACCCAGAGTCTTGACTTTGACAAGTCGCTATCCTCAGTTTCAGCCAGTGTCCATCTACCAATGCCAACGCATCCAGTGGCTGTTTCTTGAGACAACCACAGAGCCAGGAAGAGGGTGCAGGTTGTGTGCCGCAACCTGGCACCAATCACAATGAGATCCAGGAAAACAAACCCTGAAACAACCCTTGACAAATTTGGGTTTCCTAGAGTGGGGGTACCCCCCTTTTAAATCCATGTTATTTTCGGATTGTCCATGGTTGTGTACTATCCATAAATGGCGGTATCCTGGTATCCTCATTGATGGTTGGGCCATGGAAACGCCTCCTGCATTTGCCCCGCGCGGATCTCTGACAGCGGGAAAGCAGCGTGGGCCACCAAATCGTCCGTGGACAACCTCAAATCAACCGAGTGCGTCTGATGCACTTCCAGGCCCACACTCACAACTGTTCAGCCATTTCAGCCCAGATCATTTCATGATTTGAGACCTGGTTGAACTTGATGATCTTGATGACACTGAGCACATTGCGAATCGTAATCCCACAAGAGCACATGCACCCACAGCTCCTACGAACCGTTGAGACTGCCGGCGGCTTCAAGGAAACATCCGAAAGGATGCGAGACACAGCAGGTCTGTTAAGCCATCTTGCCCACCTAACGCTGTCTAGGTACGAATTTATCAGATTTGATGTCGGGATATCCTCTCTTGTCCCACAATCATCTTGCCCATATATCGACAAACGAAGGAATAAAATGGAATAAACATCCCCCCCATCCCCCTGACGCTGCAAATTGCAACCACTGGACTGTCCTCAATTGGCACATCTTCAAACTTCTTTGGGAAGGCCAACGCAATCGACTCGTTCCACATAGGATTGGAATCCTGCAGGCGCTCACGGGAAACTCCACGGAATCATCTCTACAATGGCTTTGTCCAAACATAGGGTGCCCCCAAATCCAAGGGTTCATCATGGTCCATCATCATTTTTCCACTACAATTGGAGAATTTCATTGCCACAAATTGGGAGATTCCCCTAGTATCCCCTAGTCCTACACAAAGTCCCAGCCCCTGAGTCGCTGCACTCCTCTAGGACTGTGAGAGACTTGGCGAATCGGCGGACAGCGGCCTCTCTGCTGAAAAAAAACAGGAAAGTTGGCTTGGCACCAAAAGAATGCAGTTTCAGCGGAGTTTCAACATGTTTCAACATTGTGAATCTGCAAGTTACTAGTTCTTTTCGACAGCGAGTTCTGCAGGCCTTTCGATCTTTGTTTCTGCTTCGCATCACACGTTGCTCCACCTGCATCGCTCTGGCCGATTCACATGGGCGCAATATGTGGGAAATTGCTCTGAGTCCTAAACCCCTGGCTGTTGCTTCAATGGATTGCCACCTGAGGATGATAAAGAAAGCAGTGCCGTGGCAACTTTGGCAACTGTTTTTTGTAATCTAATCAAAGATGTCTGAAATAATGAGAGACGCACGCGCAATGCTGAAGGTGATGTACGGATCGATGAACTTTCGCTTTTGAGCCTTGGACCACTGACACTGAGCAAAATCAGGGCACTGGGCCCTTTGCAACTGCAAAATGACATCTGAACATCCATTCATGTTCCAAAATATCCAACATCATGTTTCAACACTGGAGTCAGTCTCCATTTGATTGGTTCTTCTAAACCGAACAGGGTGAGACAATCAGTGACATCCACCCAAAATCTCCAGTCTCCAACCTGTTCCAACCTTTTCCAACCTGTTTAGGCGGAGACGGGGCCGGAGCGACTTGGAAGATTCTCCGCCTTCACCAAGTTGCACATCACAGCGCCACGGTCCAGTTCCGCCGCCTGGCGCAGGTGATGCACTGGGGGGCCGGGGGGATCATCTAGGACTGCTTGGGGGGGGAAGTGTTCCTATATATATTATATATATATGATGATTCTATGATGATCTATGTATCATAGATAGACAGCTAGGTAGATTAGGTAGATAGATGGATCAGTAGGTAGATAGAATATCCTCTGATGAACAAGTCAACCTTGATGAAACATGGACTCAATGAACTGGCAAAGCTTCGCGGGCTTCGTGCCTGCATGGCAGCCTTCGATTGCATCTTATGCCGCGTCAGGGCCAAAACCTGATCCAGCAGTGATCCAGCTATCCAGCCATCAGCCATGAAATGTTCATGAAAATGTGATCAGGGTTCCAGCATTTCATGAAAAATCTTCCAGCAGGACTCAAATTTCGGAAAATCATCAGGGAATCAATCACTGATCCATCAGTTCCCTTTGTTTAATCACTGCCTTTGTCTCTTTGCTGGAAAAAAAATGGAAAAAATCTGGGAAAAACCTGGGAAAAACCTGGAAAAAAATATGGGGAAAATGGGGGAAAGTCGAGGCACCCTTCGAAGGCCGGCGTCAGGTCCTTCCAGCATCATTCCGATGTGATGAGCCACCTGGAGCACCCCAGAACCACTGGTTTTGTCTTGGTGGAAGTTAAAACGGAGCAACCAACAAAAATTAAAACATAGTCAATGTGTATATCATGTATATATATATATATATACACATTATATTATTATATTATATATGTGTATATATATGTATTATATATAATATAATAATAATAGTCAATAACATCTCAAAACCCTCCAAACCTCCGTGACATAGTCAATGTCCTCTTGGGTAAACTTGGTGCCTGTGCAGCTGCGCTATGGCTGTGGTAGGTCCTACTAGGTCACTGTCTCTTGGCATGGCTTGGCATGGCTTGGCATGGCTTGGCATGGCTTCACCCGGCCTTCCTGTTTGTTGATGCACTTGATGGCACCTGTTGCAGCACCAAGGTGCAGCCAGTTGCAGCTCTGCCACGGCTGTGGACCATTGTGGACCTGTGGAGCCTGTGACACATCGCGGCACCTAGGCATTTTCGCGAGGTGTCGAACAAGGGCACCACCAACTCAGAACCTGGGACCCGAGGTGAAGGAATGAAGAATCTGGGATGAAAATGATGAAATAGTGTGAACATACTTTATTTTTGACTTCTTGGAGCATGACATTGTCCACTTGGAGTCATGACAGCATTTTTCACTTCTCAAATCTGCGTGGCTGCCAACATCTCGGATCATCTTCTGGGCATCTTCTGGGCATCTTCTGGGTGCTCCAACGGACTTCCAGACCACTGCCCTGGTAGTTCTTGTGTCGTTCTTGGAACCAGCCTGTGTTGGGGCAGACAGATCCAGCCATTGGGGGATTGGTTGATGGCATGGGATGGGATCCAGCCTGAGTGCTCTGTGTCAGCAATATCCACATTCATCACATGGCCCACTTGAACGGCCTGGCCGACCACCAGCAACATGGTTTTGGGAGAGACACCACTAGGAAACTAATGGAAACTAGAGATATCTATAGAATTCTATAGATATTCC